TTATAAATTGAGTGAGCTCCTCTCTGGAGGAGGTAGCGCCGAAATTAATTATTGTAGTTTGAGTAATTTAAGTTAGTGACACCTACACACTGCAAAGAAACTACGCTTGTGAGAAACTGATCTGACTTAAACTTCCTGTAGAAAATGATGATGATAAAAAATGGATAATGAATGAATAAACGAAGGATCATTGTAAAATTGTTCCTGCAGATACAGAATAGGGTTTCAAAGGAATAAAAGCAAAAGCCTTCGTTAAAGCTGTTTGAGTTGTATTTCTCTTAGGTGCTGATGTTTATCAGTGTTAAAAGTATAAATAATATTCCTCTTAAGTTACCTTGCTGCCATCAATCTTCATGACAGTTGTCCACACCCCATCGCCACATCCAAAACCTCCCATGTGACAGTAAACAGAGACTGATGTTAAGCCAAAGCGGAGTGTGGCCACTCGAGTTGAGTTGAAGCTGGTAGACAGTTACAAGATTAGTTATATGCTAATATATTTTAAGTTGGGAAAGTATAGCGTTAAACAATTAACAATTTTATTATAAAAATACAACTCTGGTTTTGGCTTCGTATGGACGTTATCAACAAATTGTCATGCTAACTACCAACATAGACGATTCAGTGCTATTTCTTAAGACCCAATAGAGGCAGCCAGTGTTCTACATAGCAAAATAAAATATATTTTTCAGGCGAGGTAAAAGAAAAATAACGGCATCCTTAGACTCACTTGTATGCCTCAAATAATTGTTTGCAAGACGTTGCACCTGAAATAAAAAAAAAAAAACATTAGGAAAGCGAAAAACAAATTAGAAAAAACAAAAACAAAGAAAAAACTAATATATGCGGTAACTAAACAGACTCTGTGCAACGCTGTAATGTATGGGCCATCATACCCAAACTAATGTATGTTCATTGGAATGGTATTGATTAAGAGAGCGATTTTGTCATGTTAACTGATTCTATCCACATGAAGATTTTACATTAAATTTCAACAAAATGAGAGTTATGACGAGAAGATACCTTCGATCCCTATCAAGTTTTTTAGTTTTCTGGAATATCATAAGCATGTCCATTGACTTTTCACGTGCATTTATTCTTTACAAAACTTGTTTAAAATCTTCATTTGATTTAAATAAAATCATGACGTTTCTGTTTGCAGATATGAATTTATTGTTTCTTCTTGATTTGATAATTATATGGTACTCGCTCATTTCGTTTGCAACACACCAGGATATTTATGTCTGAGCACCAATGTACATGTAATATTACCAATAGGTTTATATACAATATCCATAGGAATAGATTAAATAACAAATAATAATTATAATAAATAGATTAAATAACAGTTAAAATTGCATTTGGCGAGGGAACAAAATTGAAAGAAAAGACTCATCCCCCCCTCCCTAAAAAAATGTAGTGCAGAAAAAAAAAAATGATAATAATAATAATAAACAAACACTAGGCAAGATCATCGTTGTAAATCATTACCGTTTTCACAATGTTTTCCAATGAAGTCGTCTTTACAATGACATGTGAATGTTTCGTCTTGATAGTTTGCCAAACATGTACCTCCGTTTTGACACGGCGTGGAAATGCATTGCGACTGAAAAATAATAACAGATTACGGTGATCACGTTTGAACTTGGCATAGATGGATTGCCTCTTGAGATGCGAATGTTTGATTATGTTTTAAAAGTATGTGCTTTTTGCTGGTGAAGCAACTCAACTAAGGGCCTATATAAATGGAGTTGGGGGACCCCATTTAGGTGAGTGCTTGGGAATTAGCCCGTGTTACTTACAATCTTACAACTCCGGGATTCCGTGACGAAGTTTCGAAAAGTTGTTGGCGAGGTTTTGATTGTAACATCAACGTGACCCCAGTTAGACGGATTACCCCACCTTGAGACGTTTACATGACAAATATGACCTCAGCTGACAGGGTTACCCTACCTGGCAGACCAGGCAACCCGCCAAAGCGGGTACCCCACGTACCTATCATGTAAACGTGATCAAGATGTAATAAAATATAATACGGATCGACGGATTACTCCCTTATAGACGCATTAGTTTACCGTTAAATCCATAAAAACAGGCTCTAAATTGGAAACTGAAAAACGCTAAAAAATTTTTATAGCTTCTCCTTGCTATCTGGCAGAAAAAGCTGAGTACGTCTAGCGTTAAACATTCAGTCGTTTTGTTTCGTTGAGTTTCGTTGTGTTCTTTTTATATTGTTGGTTCACTTTTAATTTGTTTCGTTAGTCTATTTGTTTTAAAGGCTGTTGTTTCAGTTGAAATCTTAACAATCAAAAGTATTTTTTTTTGAGTAACGCACTGATAGATGCGCATGCAAGCGTTGTTAAGATTTGGCTTCTTTCAGCTAGTTTTTTCTGAAACCTTTACCTTTTTAAATAAGTGATGCGAAGTCTTGTTTCCTGTAAACTTCTGAGACTTTTGGTATTTGTCAGAAGACAGCAACTCGCAAAAAGTATTTCCAGGGGCTTCTTTATTGCTCGCCACATTTACAGAAACACATGACGGGAGACGAAGACATTCAAACGTGCAGTCAAACACATCAGTCACCATAAACATCTCAATGCTGGGAGCATCCAGGTAATGGAACTGGTTTTTCACGAATGCATAGGATGCATACGTCACAGCTACACGCAAACAAAAGGGAATAGATATGAAATCTGTATGTGTTATTACACCGTGTTGAGATCAAGCCCCTCCTCGCTCTTCCCCACCATTACACTTCCGAATTGAATGAAGAAGTTATACACATTTTGTACTCAGTGTGGTATCCATACAAACATATCCCAAAATTCAATTACCGAATTTTACTGTCGGTTTACAGGTTGGAAAGTTTTGGATTTCTGGAGAAACATCTCTTAAATACTATGGCATTTTATATGCTTTTTTTCCTACTAGCTTTTGGTTTCACTTCTTTAGCCACGTCAAAATACACCCTTTTTTGGAATAACTGAAGGCAACTTATTTGCCTCTCTCAAAACAAAAGGCAAGACCTCCAGGGCATAATTTTCCAATTGCTGAGATAATATTTTCGGTTTACTAGTACAACTTCTCACCTTTTATTGATGATATTTAGAGATTGGCACGTTATTTACCAACGTTAATCCGCGGAAAATGTCTTTTTTCATACTCGAAATTACAAAAAATATTGAAACATGTAAAGTGTATATGTAAGGAGGGCTTGTTTTTTCAAAAAAATTTCGTTGGCTATCTTTTCTCTGTGTCATAATTCATAGGAGAATATTTTAGTGAGACATACGATAATGCACCAGGAATATTAAATCTGTTAATCAAACTTTGGATGTTTTGATAATAATTATGCTACCTTGCCAAACAAGCCTGAGATCGTTTTGAATATTGCTGACAAAATGCCTAAATGAACATTTGAATAAAGAATAGTCGTAAAAGAGAGGTAATTTACAACAGTGGAAGCTGTGGAAAACAAGAATTACCTTTAACACAGGTTGCTGCAGGAATTATGGAAGAGAGTCCGTGGAAAATCAGTAAGCTACTGGCAAAAGACAACATAGCTCATCATAACTTTGTACATGTTCCTTGTCAGCTCACCAAAAATAAAATCAATTCTGGTCAGATAAATAAATTATCCAAAGTGGGTGAAAACCAAGTAGGCGGGGGGTTTATCCTTTTTGTTTGCATGAAGCCATAAATATTATCATTACAATTGATTTCAGCAGCCAGTAATAACTTCTATGAAACCTATCCTAATTGATTTTGTCATCCTGTAAGTATAAAGCACGCAAAATGGAATTTCCTAAGTGTTTGGTAAAATAATTTGATAACTTATGTGACGTTGTTTAGATTCAAATGAGTTTTCTCTTTTAACTAAAAGACAGTCCAGCAGTCTGCCCCTGTTGGCTTACCATCGAACAAAAATTTGGAATTTTCATCATTACTATGCGTATGAAAATTTTGCCAGCCGCTCCCTCCATCAAAAGCACCATGTGTTTATTACAGTTTATCTAAAAAAGCCATGATTTTCGTTGACATTCAAGATAAAGTACTAAAAATCACCTACCAACAACTGCGAATTGCTTGTTGAGTTCGTAAAATTATTTTGTTGTAAAAACTACGGTGTTATACAAGGATTACTATTGTTTTTGTAGTAATTCAAAGCATGTTTTCATCTTGAGTGTGCCAACACACTTTACGATTTTTATTCGGGGATTGTCGATCCTTTTATTTTCATTCATTAATTCCTCGCTTACATTGTCGAAGTTTATACAAAGAGATGCTTAAGATAAAACTTCATGGAATAGACAGTTTCCAAGGGAGAGACAGGTCGTATGTACATGTATGTCCCAACTATTGTGAAGATCACGTTTTATTTTGTACTTCAGATTTCAAGGTATGTGGAAGAGGCATTCATCACTCATTTATCGTATAACATCAGCCTTAAAGCTTGACAATCAAAGAACGTTAATAGAGAATAAGTCCCTCAAAGAATATAGTTTTTCAAGGAAAATCAATTAAACTTAATCATTGTTAGTGTTACAATAGGCTTTGTGAAAACTGCGAATATATAAATTGTATGCTGCCTGTAGTATACACTCTCGAATTCGCTGTTACTCTTTTTACAAATAAAGGAGGTAAGTTTCTAAAGAAACTGTGTTGCTACGTCGGTGGGAGAGTATACCAAGGTAATTTAGTTTTTATTAACTAAGTTGATAATGTAAATTGGCCACGGTAAAGAATTTAAAAGCTGACGTTTCGAGCGTTAGCCTTTCGTAAACCCTTCGTCAGAAGGCTCTGAAAAATGGCGAAACGTCAGCTTTTAAACTCTTTACGGTGCCCAATTTACGTTATAAACTTAGTTGAAAATACAAAATTACTCTTTCCTCACAAAGTTTTCCAAAAGAAATTAGATTCTGCAAGACTCGGCATCACAAATTCTGCACTCCAGTGTATAAACATTATTTCTCCAATCGGAAAAAAATTTAATGGGGTTCTCACTGCACTAAGATGTAACCCATGGTTTTAATGAGCTTGTCACCGTTATCTGGATAGGCTCCCGCACCATTTCCACAAGTAATACTATCATCAGGGCTCCCGGCACCGCCAAATCCAATCCTGGAATCACATGAATCACAGTCATTTTGCTCATTTGAAACGATACCGATCCTTACTAAAGCGCAACCATCACCATAACATCCGCCTGCATTGAATCCTTCCTTGTTGCAGTTTGTCTGTAACGAGGCTTCCGAGCCAATAAGTGCCTTCCAGGCGGAACGACCCAATGAGGTGGCGCGGTAATGTCCATCAGCGATCAGGGAGTGCAGAGAAGTAGCCTGCTTGTTGAAGGCAACAAATCGCGTCTGGCCGCCAACTTTCATACCGAGACAGATCTGGTTGAAGGATGTGTCCCAGTAGGTATGTAATTTGGTTTCTTCTGAGTCAAATCCAGTCTCTCCTCCGGCAGCGTTGTATTGATTTTTATCTGACCAATAGCTCGAGTAGTATTTAAATGTGGCCTGAATAAATTAATTACAAAGTTAGAGTTAGAATTCGTCTTCATATAAATCAAAATCATTTGGAGGCAAGAGAGAGCAGCAATGTGAAATAGAGGCCTCTTTTGTAAGGTGATCACCCCTGTTTTTCCTCTTTTTTCCCCACTAGGTAATGAATAATGCTCATCAGCAAGAGATGTGACGATCTATCCTACCTTGTTGCCGTCAATCTTCATGACAGTTGTCCATACCCCATCACCACACCCAAAATTCCCCATGTGGCAATAAACAGAGACTGATGTTGAGCCAAAGCGGAGTTTGGCTAGTCGAGCTGTGTTGAAACTAGAGGACAGGTTCAAGATAAGTTTTAAGCGTTATTTTATTAGCTAAGTATGCCTTAAATGCAACAACTTATGATAAGCGATCCTAAAGGCAGTGACATTTGGTGTTATGACACTGCGCCCGCGCAAGTCCTGCCTAATTCCTAAGCAGCTATCTTGGTAAAAATTCATATGTACGCACCTCCGTGCATCCATAACAACAATGAGCATGTAGCTACTTCGCTTCTGAGTAGAATGAAAAAATGAAAGAATGATTCTTGTAATAAAGATTTGGTCTCGAAATATTTCTTGGTTGTTTTTGCTTTTTCCTCAATTCGTAGGTTTCGGGTAGAATACGATCAACTCGGAAACCCGACACTGTTGTAATAAAAAACTCTTATTTTCCAGCAAAACTTGTGTCTGCATGCTGTGTTTTAAAAGAATTGGTTCATGGTTTAGCTGTACGTAAATTGAGCTCTGGATGCACTGGAGTTACTCATGGCTGCGGCTCGAGCAACTCTTTTGCTTCTCTCATGCTCTCCAAACATCTCACGTGCATCCATAGCTTTAAGCATGGACCAACTCTTTATTTCATGTAATGAAAAACTCTTTTAGGAGGGAAAAAAAACCTCTTCACAGAAATTGACTCACTTGTATGCCTCAAATAGTTCTTTGCACGATGTTGCACCTGAAATTCAGCAGAAAAAGAAACGATATCAGGAGAAAGCCCCACTGTTATTGACTGTAAGACTCAAGTAGCGTAGCATCGACACGTAGGTAATGTTAGGTCGTTCTGCTCTGTCGTTTGTTGTGTATATGTCGGGAGTAGGTCGTTGGCATGGAACTAGCAGTTGTTAAAATCTGTTGACGGAAGTCTGTACTAAGTTATGGAGCCAGCTTGCCCGAGTCAGTCGTTGAAAGCAATTAGTGCTTTAAGTTAGACATTGCACAGAATGACAGTGAAAAGTGCGGTTTCTGCTTCGATTATGTTCAGCAAAGTGATTGACGTCACACATACCATAACTTTTACTTTTCTAACAAGATGAGGGAAACTAGTTTGCAACACGGCGGTCAGCTTAGGGAACGAAAACAAATACCTGGATCGTGTTATGATAATATGTTTGCCCTAGGTTTAAAACAGCATATGTAAAAAGGAGAAACATTTTCCATTTTAAATCATTACCTTTTTCACAGTGTTGTCCAATATAATCGTTTTTACAAAGACATGTGAACGTATCGTCCTGATAATTTGCCAGACATGTACCACCATTTTGACACGGCGTAGAAATACATTGCGACTGAAATAACAAAGTAATAAGTTGTTTTATTCTCAGGTAATTTGGTTTTATCAACTGAGTTTATAACGTAAATTGGCCGCAAGAACATTTTAAAGCTGACGTTTCGAGCGTTAGCCCTTCGTCACAGCGAAGGGCCAACAGACAAAGGGCTAACACTCGAAAGTCAGCTTTGAAATTCTTTACGGTGGATTTGAATATTTATGACTTCAATGTAAGAAACGCATGTGAGAAAGTCAAATCCATTTTTTATCAGAACAAATTGAAAATATTTTGATTGCTTGGCCTTTCTGGTTGGCAAAAGGAAAAAACACAGAACAAATTAAAAGATAAAAAAAGGAACGCAAAAGAAATCAAACCAAAGTAAGAGTTGAGTAGACCTGAACCAAAAATTAAAATCATTTTGTTCAGGTTTTTCTCTCTTTTGGTATCTTGTTTTTTTTTTTTGTTTTTATTTCGGTTTTGTTTGTTTTTTTCCCTTCTGTTTGCTTATTTTTATTCATTTTCTCAATTCATTTTGTTACCTAGGCGTGTATTTTGTTGTTTTCGTCGTTATTACTCTGTTCATGATTAAAGCAAAAACATCATTTCTATCGGATGATTCACTGATAAATACTCAGATACAAGCAAATTCAGAATTTATATTTTTTATCTTCCTGGCTTTTTTTTGTTTTTTTTTGTTTTGTTTTGTTTTGTATTTTTGGTTTGTTTTCCCCTGTCTGTTTTTTAAATTATCTTTTTTATCATTATTTTTTATATGTTTTATGCCGTTATTATGTTATTTTCGCTGGTTTTTTCAAAAGTTTACCTTTCGGAGTAAATGATGAGAAGTCTGGTTTCCTTCGAACTTCTGGGAGTTTTGGTATTTATCAGAAGACAGCAACTCGCACCAGATAGTTCCATCGGCTCCTGTGTTGCTCGCCAAGTTTACAGAAACGCATGACGGTAGACGAAGACAATTAAACGTACAGTCAAACACGTCCGTCACCAAAAACGTCCCAATCTTGTTAACATTCAGGTAATGGAACTTGTCTTTAACAAAGGCATGAGATAAATCTGTCACAACTACACAGAAACAAGAAGAAAACGATGTGAGATCTGCATCTGATTCATTGAATTAAAAGTGAAAAAAATAACAGGTTTTGAGTTTACTTTAAAAATGAGACGTTACAACAACTTTGTCGTGAGCACGATGAAAGTTTTCCTCTCCAGCTCTCTAAATTCCAATTATGCGATAAAGGGATTACCGTTTTGTATTTGTACGTTAAAGTATTCTATTTTCAAAAATTGCTCAAACTTCATCACAAAAGCTGGTGTATTTATAAAGATATGCAATATCTTATTGGTCGAGTTTCATGGCACAATTACACCACAGCAAAAGCCGAAGGCAAAATTTAAAAAAAGGCATCTATTCAACCTAGTCAGTTATCTTTGCCTACTCCAAATTTTATTGCAAACCTAATCTATTTAACACAGGGAGCAAGGCGTCCGGAATTTTTTTTCTCTTTTTTTTTTGAATAGGGATTGTTAATATTAATATGTCTATATGTTTTTTATTAAACCTCAAGATTTGATCATAATCGACTCGGGTACATCATACTAAAACTTCATATTTCTCAATGTTCGATTGAGAGATCAGATCAGTACAGATCGACCGTATAAATGTTTATATAAATAGTGACTTGAGTGTAAATGTCTTTGCCTCCTCGCTCAATAAAGGCTTTGCTGGATACCGTTTGCCTATTTCATAATACATTAGAATATCAAGGTGAGACATTCAATAACGGACATGAAATCTTTATTTAGCGAATCAAACCGCGGATGCTTCAGTGAAGATCAGGCTACCGCATCAAAATTTTCGGGTAGAGGATATCCTTTTGAGTATCGCACTTGAAAATAAATTTAAAAAAAAAAAAAAAAAAAAATCCGCCGAGTTCATCATGAGTATGTTGCTAACAAAATACCAGACAGAACCTGAATAAAAAAAGTTCTCGTCAGAGAGTCCTTGAATTTTTTGTTCACCATCTTATTAACCTGACTTAACCTAACTTAACCTAGAATAAACGCAGTAATAATTTTGTTGCCGAAGATTATACTTAAATCTTACCTCTAGCACAGGATGTTTCAGATATCCTTCCGGAAAGTCCGTGGAAAATTAGTAGGCAGCTGACAAAAGACAACATTACTTGTGATATCAGTTTTTCGTAAGTTACAAAATGTATGTCTTCTCTAATCCTTGCCTTGTTGATTTGTTACTTGAGGCTAACAACAAAACTTTTCCGTAGGAGTACATGCACATAGCTCTTGTCAGCTCGCCGAAAAAATCAATTAACTTCGTTAGAGGTCTTGAAATTAATAAAACAGCCCTTGTTATTGACATCTAAGGAGGTAGGATACATCCTTTTTGTTTTTTTTTTTTTTATTCTAAAGCATAAATATCATAGCTTTGAAATCAAAATTTCAAAGGAATCCATTTAGCCAAGCGTAATTAAATTTGTCATCCTTTAAGGCCGCGTTGCGCAGAAAAGTGTTTCTAAAGAGTTTGGTCAATTTATTTGATAAGCAATGTGCGGTCGTAAGGCGTCAAATTTTGTTTTGAAATTTTTTTCAAAATTGCTAAGCAGTTCACTCTTTTGCCTCATTGCTGAGCTAAAGCTTGTAAGTCATATCATTACTATTCATAACATTGAATAGTTTGTTTTGGTCAATTGTTTTTGTTATACAATATCAATAGCATTAACTTATGGAGGAGAGAGGGCTTCTATGTTATTCATTCGCTGTATTCTGAATAAGCGTCCATTTTTATCAATGCCCTATACGATGTTCCAATATCAAAATGGCTATCGATGTTCCAAACAAAATGGCTATCTAAGCTTCTTAACAAATAAATTTCGTGTCTTGAAGAGCTACCAAGTGAAATGATTTAACAGGGTTATTTAGCATTAGAAACTGAGTTTATAACATAAATTAGCCCCCTAGAGAGTTTAACCATAGTTTCTTTACACCATGGTTTTTTTAGAAACTTACCCTCTTTATTAAAATGATTTTAAGTTTACTATTTCCTCCCAAATTGATGATCATGGAAAATATAAATAAAATACGCGAGGACAATATGACAATCCCAACAGAAAAAAAACAAACCAGTCGAAAAATGACTAAAAAGAATTGAGCTTGCTATGACTGCAAGTCGAAAAGAATCATATTTATAGTGTTAGGGGTAATTGTTGTTGATTCTCGAAATTTCCAGACTGCTGAGTCATGCTGACTTGCATACCGTAGAACTTTGCAGAATATTTTATCAAGTCACGTATTTATTATGTAATAATAAATACATGTCCTTTTTTTTTTTTTTAGTTGCGTTGCTAAAATCACAGACAGAAGACGTTAGGAAGGATTTGAAACTGAGTGATATACGTTTTTTAGGTTTGTGCAACGAAATATTTTTCTTAAAGACCCCCAACTTCCCCCTTTTTTTAACTACCCTTATTATCACTCGACTCATATTGTTCTTTGTAATTTTGGCGACAGAAACGCACAAGCGAAGAGGAAGACATACTCATGTGCCGTCAATTACGTCACCTAGTGTATTGTCCCAGTGCTACGAACATTAGAATGATATACTGCTGTTATCTTATAATAATAATAAAAATAATAATAATAATAATAATAATAATAATAACAATAACAATGAAGGATTTTTATAGCGCCGTATCCGTCTAGCTCGTAGCGCTTTGCGAGGGACTTTGGCCAGGCTGCATTTAGCAGCAGAGGCCCCCATTTTTAGAAATAAGGGAAAACCTAAACACCGGGATTCCGGCGCCCGTCAAAAATAAGACAAAAATAAGACAAACATTAACTAACTTTAGAAATGCAAATTCGATCAATAATGGCTATGCAAATCGCAGTGATAATAGGAGAAGATAACATTACAGAAAGAGAAATTGAAAGAGACTTTACCATGTGTAATCCTAAGGTATTTTTGGGGATAAACTACCATTTATTGCACTAAGATGTAGCCCATGACCTTAATAGATTTAACCCCGTTGTCTGGGTTGTGCGAGGCCCTATTACCACAAGTATTACCGTCATCCGAGTATCCCCCAGTCCCAATACCTATTCTAGAGTCACATGAGCTGCAATCGTTTTGCTCATTTGCAATGTAACCAATCCTTGCTTTAGAATGAGATACAGAGCCACCAATAGCATTAAACCCTTCGATATTGCAGTTATTCTGTAAGGATGCCTGAGAACCAATCAGTGTTTTCCACGTGTCACGGCCAAGTGACGTGGCACGGTATTGCCCATCCGCAATCAGTGAGAACAGAGAACTGGAATGATGATTGATTACAATGAAGTTGACTTTTTGGTCGATCTTCATACCGAGACAGATCTTGGTGAATGGCGTCCTCCAGTAGGTTGGCAGTTTGGTTTCTTCGGAATCAAATCCAGTGTTTCCACCGGGGGTATTGAAATCGCGTTCATCACTCCAGTATGTAGAATTATAATGGAAGGTTCTCTGAGAGAAAAGACAGCATTTTCGTAAAATAATGAAGCAGATGGAAAACTATGATTGAAATATTTCATACAAATGGATATAAGTCTGCATCACCAACCACATCACATTCTACTAACCAACATTTTCATCGTAACTAAGGATCTTGTTACATGGCCCAGCCTACCGCGAGTTTCCTATAGCTCAGTGGTAGAGCATCCGAAGTAATCAAAAGGGCATAGGATTTAGTCATGTTAGGATAAGGAGCAATCAGATTTTTCTCTCCTCGGGTATATCGGTGCCATTCATTGAACAGCAACATCTTTCATTTTCATCATTATCGTTATCGTGAAAGTTACCGTTATAATTAATTTGGTTTTGGAAGAAAGCAAAGAAGGAAAAACGAGTGTTAACAGCTGATATTTGGCTCCATTCTCGCTAACAGGAAAATCGCTTTGAAATAACGCTTAAACTGGTGAGAACAGTGCTCAGAACGATTTCTACTAGAGATAAACTAATGGCTCAAATTGAATACAAATGATACCTTGGTACCATCAATCTTCATAACAGTTGTCCATGCCCCGTTTCCACACCCCAAATCTCCCACATGACAATAAACAGAAATTGGAGATAAGTCAAAACGGAGGGTCGCAGACTGACTTGTGTTAAACCTGTCATAAAAATCACAATGACTAAACTCTAGTATTTGCTCTGTGTGCACTGGATATATAGTTAATGTACAAAAATATTGTAGTAGTGGGCAATTCATTTTCGCTGTTATTATTTTGTTCGATTATGTTTTTCCCAGAAAAAGCCCTCGAAATTAGAAACTGGTCTCCTTTCTAAAGTGAAGGAATGTATAGCCCCCTAAAAATAGAAAGCAAATTTCCACCCAAAGTACTTCTCCTCATATGCCCAGCAACCCGTCACACAAGTAAAATAAACAGCTTAACATGATGTATTCATTAGGAGTCAAATGGAGTGGTCTTGAATCAGACTTTGATTCGTTTTAGTAGAAATGGCTGCCGGTAAGAGACCGAAGACTGCATAGATGCAATATATAGATTAAACAAGCCTAAAAGCGAAGCTCTTGCCAGTTAACTTTCCAACTCTTCATTATAATAAAAAATGCAATAAAGCTCTTAAGCACTGGCTGTCGAAGAGTTTCTGCAAGGGGATTTAGGGACCATTCTGGATGTGGTGGAGGGGTACGATGTTCTCATAATTTGCAAAGCAATCAACACGCATGCCAATCAGCAGTATTTTCAAGCAGCCGAGGACCTTCGTTGTTGTTCCTGATGTTTTAAGCAATTTTCCGACGATAGGGAATATTTTCTTCTTCAGATGAAGTGTATGATGTCAGCATTAATTGAAATTATATTTCATTGAGCGAAGACTGCAGAGAGGTATGACTTAATCGGGATTGTATTAAAGAAAAAGTCCTAAGGGGTAAACAGAAGCGGAATTTTTTTGGTGTAATAGCAACTGATTCTAACTTTTTTTCGTACACAAATTAGCTTGAATCTTGCATAAACCTTATTAAGCTCCATCTTAACACTAATGTCTTCCATAAAATATGAATCCGTGGTAGTAAAAGAAAACTCCAAGACTTACAAGTTCGATTCATAGATCTCCTTGCATGACCTCGCACCTAAAAAAGGGAATGTTACGGTGTTATATCAAATTATCTTAAATGTAAGATTTATTTTTCATTTAGTTATTTATGCTTTGTAATTTCTATCATTTTATTATCCCCATTTTATTCAACTCCTTAAGCTAAATATATGACTTTCATATATTCTTAACCATCCTTAAGCTTAATTGAAATTTTTCTGAAATCGATATAATTGCAACGCCCAAAGGTACTCACAGCCCACTAATCGATCATTTGCTCAGAAATGAAAAATCGTCTTAACCTAGCGCCTTCTTCTTTGAGCTTCGAAAACCAATAGATATTTGTTTCTCTATTTAGGACTTTTATTCAATGTACACAGTAAGGAAAGAATAAAATAAATTAGGGAAACTGCTGTGATTGGTTTTTGAAGCTAGCTCACCGTGAAAAATGTTTGTCGTTCTTGTTTTCTCTTAACAGATCAGAGGGAGTCTTCAACTGGTTGATCAGAAAGCCATTGAACGTTTAGCACGGTCAAATTCCAAACTTACTTAAACTGCACAGCAATGGTGGCAATGATGATGATAAAAATAATTACAATAATAACAAAATTTATTATTATTATCATTATTATTACTATCATTGTAGTAATAATGAGTGACACATTTCTGTTGACCACAATATATAAAATTTTTTATGCCTACCTGTTTCGCAAAATCTTCCGATAAAACCTTCCTCACAGATACATTCAAATGAGTCCCTTCGATAGTTTGCAAAACAGGTACCACCATTTTGACAAGGAGAAGAAGAACAAGGTGACTAGTGTACGAAGGAATTAAAATGGATGAAAAATAAACGATTAGATAGATACAAAGGTGGTAAGAATAATTATGATGATGCGAATCCTGCGCGAGAAATATTTATCATATATATTTCGTTTTTGAAGGGTCGTTTCATTGCAAACGGAAATCGACAGCTACAAATCAGAAATCGTGTTTCAATAAGAAAAAAGAGGTTTTGCATAAGAATTGACTCTTTAAAGCCATGTTTTGACCACTTCTTACTCAGTGAATCGAATTCATAGCCAGTGACAGAGAGCCGAATTCCATAGCCACCGTGAATGTACTCTACATGTAAATGCAAGATGCGATTAACAGACATCGATCAGAAGAAATATGTCGAATCGCATATCTAGGGAACAGTGAATGCATTATACATGCAAATACAAGATATTACATGCAAATTCAAGATATGATAAAAAGACCTCTAGCAAAAGAATTATGTAAATGAAACTATACCTTGATGGAAAAGTGATGCGAACTTTCGCTTCCTCGGAAATCCGCTTTGTTTCTATACTTATCAGAGGACAGTGCTTCACACCAAAGTTTCCCATCAAACCCTTCGCTAGAAGCCAGATTCACAGATACACACGAAGGAAGTCGTAGACATTCAAACGCACAATTAAAGGAATCTTTTACTACGAACGTTCCAAGCTTTGTCACATTTAGGTAATGGTGCCAGTGCCTCGTGAAAGTGTGAATGATGTTTGTGAAACCTGATGAATTTTAAAGTGAAGGTAGTCACATTAATAAAAAAAAATTATTAAAAAAATATATATATATGTATATATTATTGGAAAATTCTGAATATAACTAAAAAACAGTGATTGCTCAGGCTACAGACTTGTACTACCTTAATTAGATATTCTCAGGTAGTAAGGTACGTGTGATAAAATTCGTACAATTTCTATTTTGCTTTTTTTCTTTTTTATTTCGAATAAAATAAAATACCTCCAATCAGCTCTGCAAACCTTCTTTCCCGCGCTTTGCACTTAGCAGTTTGCGCGCTTTATGTTGCTTTGTGGTGTTTATATTTTTAATATTTAGAAATACATTATCAGTTCCACTTATTGTCGTGACCATATTTTTTCGTTCAATATATGATAAAACAATAATCAGATTCGGTTTTTGTGATATCCAGAAAAATCAAGGTCTCGGTGAGGGTTATTATATGAAGGCTTCGGCTTCAGCGGATAACCCCCACCTCGACCTTGATTATTCTGAATATCACCGAAACCGAAATTAATGATTGTCCAAAATATTACCTGAAAAGGCTTTATCTACCTAATGCAGCCTAAGTTCAACCAGAGATCCGATGGATAACAGTGTGAAAGTAACGACAATTTTCTTTATGAATTCTAAGAATTTGACACTACGCTATGTGTACTTTGGTCGATTATTGATTTCAAGGCTCTCGTCCTCGCCGTCGTTTTCGTAAATATCATTTTCCCGTAAATAATCAATCTAAGGATATCGACTGGCCCTAAAAAAAATTTCAATGAGTACTGAGTCATTTCAAAATTTAGTTGAAATCGTTTTTTTTTTTTATGGACACGGTAACTTTACCTACTCAGAAAAAAAATGGAAATTTGGATAAGTGCTCAAATAATGCAGGGAAATTTAGATCATCAGGGTGCCACTGAAAAATAAATAGAGAAAGCAAGCCTCTTACCTGTGTAACAAATCACTCTGCTTGAAATCAAAAGCCAAAGGTTTAGGTGAAAATAAATCAATTTGATGACAGTTATGACTGATAATGCTTGCATGACTGTAGGCAAAATTTATATTTGTCGCCAGTGGTTGTTTTAGCTCCTGAACACTTTGCCGCACCTGTCATTACCGTCTTCAGCAGGTTCTGTGAATACAAATGAATAATTTATGTGTTGGGACAAAGAAATTCAAACGTTAATCATCTTAGTAATATTCTAGGAGAAAACTCAGCATACTCATGGGCTGATTACACGCAATTAATTCCAAACAGGACAGAAAGCGACAATTCAGAGGAAAACAGTGAAATTGAAATCAGGACTTAAAACATAAAGTTGATATTAGATTGACTCGCAGGAAAGTCGTGAAATCACAACAAAACAAAATGGCGGACAGGCTGAAAGAAGCAACCGTTTTCATCGAGAGTTCGAGTTAGAATTCTCAGAACAAAATACCCAACACAACATAAACAACTGGCTAAAAGACCAAAAGTATTGAATCGGAAGGACCGGAGGCCCTCTTAGGAAAGACGGGGACGATTACGAGCTTGATAGACTTTCGTATACTGTAATGGTTAATGCTGACCAATACCTAACAGAGAAAGAGTGTCAAGTTCGATTGTTTGTTGCAGAGAGTTAAAAAAGAAAAAAACTCGAACATACAAAACGATGTCGATTTCAATCGTGGGCTCAAAATAATGTATATTTGTATGTATTTCGTCCACCGGTCTAAAATCAACATAAATTATATTAGTGTTATTTTATCTCATTTTAAACATCACGAAGAATAAAAACTTTCTAAAATTTTCTTTAAGCGGAATCCACAAATATTGATATGTGACCCAGAGCGGTCTTCCCTGTAAAACCCCTGACCTTAAAATCCAATCCTGATATTTTTTTGTAATAAGCACCTTAGTTCTCTGAACTTCTCTTGCCATCTATCGAAATCATAAAGATGTTTTTCGTCTTGTCACGAGCCTGGGACAAAGAAAAAATTCTGAGTCCCCATGAGGAATCGAACCTTAAACCTTCCAATACCGCGCTCGGATGCTCTACCACTGTGCCACAGAGACTCCACGGCGAACGAGGTCTATTACGAAGTTCATATGACAAAACTTACCTTTCTCTCATTCTATTTACAAACATGACGCTATAGGCATTACCGATCCTAGCAGTATGCAGGACGCGTGTCACATGAACTCGACTATTTCGACCTCTGAGCTCATTCCCAAGCACCATTTTATTTGCATTGATCTCCTTTGTTTATGTTTCAGTCACCTCGCATATCTTCGCCATGCAAAAGGGGGGGCACCTGCATAGCACATAAGAGAAATCGTGCCTGGAAATTCCAGTGCACAAACACTAGCCTTGGAGAATACTTCGAAAACGGCAAATATCTTCTACTTTGACTTAAGGAGACACTAAACCGTTGAAACTACAGCTGTACAGTGTTTACGCTTCCCAAAGCTCCCAGATTGTTTTCTTGTGAAACAACGAAGTAGATGACAGACCTTGCAGACGCGCCTCTAGAACGCAATGGCAGTGGAGAGAAGGAAGAACGAAAAATATGAAAGAAATAACCCTCACGATGACATGTGCTTTCTTTAATGTTAAGAAGGCAAGGCATTTTTGATAGTTCCCTCTTAGTTTGTTCTGAGCATAAATAGGAGCCCATTCACGAGATTTGAGCTCGTCCGCCAGTGGAATATATTATACTACAAGAGAGAAAAAGTGGTTAACATAACAGCTCTATGTAATGTTTTTTTTATAAAACGCTGAACCGCAGCGATTTCTAAATGATGTGTTGATGATAAATTGCGACCAACATGTACATAAAAGTAGTGCGTAAAAACCAATGTTACACTAGATCAACCTATGAATCAGTTTTCAAAGTGCTGTAGTATAATAGAAATGGTAGTTAGAATTGACAAGTAAATTAGAAATGTAAAATTTACGAGGAAACATCTTCAGTGAGAACCAATGTTTGAAAAATACATAAAAAATACAAATGAAAAGCTACCGGTAAAAATTCATTATTCCGTCGGCTCATGATAACATTCAGTTTCTGGTTGTATACTTTGCTTTGTCATCATTCCTTTAATAACGTCTAACAAATACGTAAATAAAACGTTTGGGATGACATATGGCGGCATCTTGTGAGGCAAAATCTAATTAACAAAATTATAGGTTATCCAATCAGAATATAGAATTCTACACTTTATCGTCTTGATTTTAGGCTAGTTAATATTTTCAAAGCAGGGAATTTAATTATTTTGAGATAAAGCGATAAGAGGCTACTCGGTATAAAAGGTTGAATGAAAAGTTCTTCATATACATTTTACTTAACAGTAAGATGTGAGGTTCTCTATTTGCACAAAATATGTTTACCTGTGTTTTGTTATTTTGATCACGCTCTGGTGCTTGCCATTGCTAAGGAGCTCGAGGCCCAAATTAAAATTGGCGGTAGAAGTGGCTCACAGGAATTCAGTTACAAAGATCTGAAGGTCGCACTTCATACGGGAACTATGGTCAGAAGTTAGAGATTATTTATAGTGATTCTAAATCTTGCTTTGTTTAAAAAAATAATAATCTAAGTGATTCCAATCTTCTTGTTTTGTAAATATATCGATGGGGTGCTTTCATTTTCAAAATATATTCAAAAGGAGATTCAGAGCTGCCGTCACTGATCGTTGATCCGTCAATAAGTAATTATTAGTTACTGACGGACTCCAGGCTAAGTCCTTAAGTGCATGACAGTGATGGGTTCGACTGCAGGGTCTTTCAATTATGGAAAGTTTCTTTCGTTTTCTCGCTTTCTCCTGGGAGAGTGATAACATCGACACTTTTTAATTTTCTTTTTCCACAGACGCATGTTCAAGGTTTACGCGTCACAACAATGCGACTTGCGTGCCAAGGTACCCTGACAACAAATACCCCTCTGATTGAGAGGTGAAACAGGTGTAATAATAAAATATGGCCAATATTCGTGACGGGCATTGCTTTAACTAGAAATCTTGAAATGTAACCCTTTACACGTCAGTTTAGACCAAAAAGTTTACCTCTTTGGGAGCACCTCTTTTAATGAGAAAGGTAAACATTGTAGTCACCACAAAACAAGTTTCGACCATTGCTCGATCATATTTCACATTTTCCATGCTTTTTTTACGTTAAAGAGGGCTATCTTTAAAACAAGGAACGTGGAATCGAGGAATCGGAGAATTGGGAAATTGGAGAATTGGGAGATTGGAGATTTGGGAAACTGAAGAATTGGGAAATTGGAGATTTGGGAAATTGGAGAGTTGGGAAATTGGAAAATTGGGAAATTGGAGATTTGGGAAATTGGAGAATTGGGAAATTGGAGAATTGGGTAATCGAAGATTTGGGAAATTGGAGAATTGGGTAATCGGAGAAATGGGAAATTGGAGAATCGGGAAATTGGAGAATTGGGAAATTGGAGAATTGGGAAATTGGAGAATTGGGAAATTGGAGAATTGGGAAATTGGAGAATTGGGAGATTGGAGAATTGGGAAATTAGAGAATTGGAAATTGAGGAATTGGGAAATCGAAGAATTGGAAATTTGGAGAATTGGAAATTAGAGAATTGGGAAATCGAAGAATTGAGAATGGGGAATGGGGAATGAGGAATGGGAAATGAGGAATGGGGAATGGGGAATGGAGAATGGAGAATGGAGAATGGAGAATGGGGAATGGAGAATGGAGAATGGGGAATGGAGAATGGGGAATGGGGAATGGGGAATGGAGAATGGAGAATGGAGAATGGAGAATGGAGAATGGAGAATGGAGAATGGAGAATGGAGAATGGAGAATGAGGAATGAGGATTTGGGAATGGGGAACGAGGAATGGAAAACGAGGAGTGGGTAATGAGGAATGGGGAATGGGAAATGAGGAATAAAGAATGAGGAATGGGAAATGAGGAATGAGGAGTGGGGAATGAGGAATGGGGAATGAGGAATGGGAAATGAGGAATGGGGAATGAGGAATGGGAAATGAGGAATGGGAAATGAGGAATGGGAAATGAGGAATGGGAAATGAGGAATGGGGAATGGGGAATGGGGAATGGGGAATGGGAAATGGGGAAAGGAGAATTGGGAATGGAGAATAGAGAAGGGGGAATGGGGAATCTTTAAAAGCGGGAATAATGTTTAACGAATTCCCGCCTAAGAGGGCAACTTTTCCACAGACCGCTCATACATTTGGTCGATTTCATTCCACGCTTTAAAAGATTCTCCGTTTTAAAGATTCCCGCTTTTAAAGATTTCCCACATTAAATATTCACGCTTTTAAAGATTCCCCGTTTTAAAGATTCCCACTTTAAAAGATTGCCGGTTTTAAAGATTAGCCGCTTTTAAAGATTCGCCGCTTTTAAAGATTCGCCGCTTTTAAAGATTCCCCGTTTTAAAGATCAGGGTTCAAAATAATTTTTCAGCTTTCAGCGTGAATTTGTATGCTTTTGTCATGGCTCATTTTTCTCCGACTGTCATAATAAATTTCAGCATCAGAATCTTTATTTTGATCAACATGTTTTGCTGCAGCGATTCCTTTTCTAACAAAGCGTAGTGAAGGGCATAATTTTTCGGTGTTTGTTCAAACGTGAAATATACAACTTTGCTTAGACAAACTGTCGCGCTATAGTCAAGCGCCGACTTTAATTTGAACGCGTGAGAAGGCTTTACAAACGACGTTAATTAATTAATTAAACAGGATTTGACGGAAAATAAATCTTTATCAAAGGTAGTGTGTACGTGCAGAAACATAAACACGGTAATGTCATGGTGTGTACACAAACTTGCATGTTTCGCGCTTGAACAAATACGTTGAAAGCTGAATACTGTAAACAAAATTACTCCCTATAGCACGCTTCAAATTTCGAAACTTTACACTCTTTTACGTTTCCCATAAGCTTTTAAAGCATTTCTTGGCTGCTTTAATGCCTGATATGGCATTTTCACCATAACATGAAGGCAACTTTTGCTTCAGTTGGACAATCACAAACATAATATTTTCTATAAAATTCCAGTTGTTCGGTGAAGATTCCCGAAATTTTCGTTCAAATTTTCTGCAGATATCGATGAGTGCGCTAATAGTCCCTGTTTGAACGGAGGGACGTGTGCAGACCAAGTAAATGGCTATGTCTGTAGCTGTCAAGCAGAATACGCAGGGCTTCATTGCCAAAAAGGTGAGTCTTCGACTCAAATTCAAGCAACATTACGTATAAAATTTATAGACGCCTGACTTTGGATTAATGTGTTTGGTATTTTTACATGTACTCAAACAAAGACCGGGGAAACTTGCTTAAACAATGACATTATATTCTATTGCTTGTAGCACTGAAGTCATGCAAAGAAGTCTATGATGAAGACAAGCGAGACTTCTTAAAACTGATGTCTCTATTTTTTAATCCCCTTTTTTTTCTGTATTCATCCCAATTAACTTTTTTTTATTTATCTTTTTTGTAAGAATCTTACACTCAACAACTGCAGTTTACAAAGAATAATTTGGCAAAAGACAGGAAAAATAAGAGATCTGCACACCAATTATTTTCTATAACTCATCGACCACAAACATTTACTCTTTTTTTACCATAGAGTGAAAATTCACCAAAAGTTAAAGTTACGACTTCCCTTTTTTTCTTATAAGGAGAAATCGTGATATGGGTAACAAAACAACGGAACTCAAAAAAGAATCATGTGCCAATTTAAATGATACTATTACTAATTACCTTCAGAGTACGTTTACAAGGAAGCGCTTTTGCTTTTTACCCATTCAAGTCATATTTTGAACACTATTACGTTCCTAAGTAAATTTTCAACAATTATCATAAAGTCCCTGCCAAGAAATGTAAATCACGAGAAGCTTATTGTGGTGTTTTGGGGTTCGTATAGGTCAAATAAAGATGGCAAAATTGCTTCAATTATCATCAATGCGCAGCCAATTTCTGTTTACTGTTATATGGGGAATTTTGGATGTGGTGATGAAGTTTGGACAACTGTCAAGAAGATTGATGGCAATAAGGTAGTATACACTGTAGTTTATGATAAGGATTCTTTGTGCTCTTGAGCATTATTCATTTCCTAACTAAGACGATAATTAATTAAGGGTGAATGCCTCCCCCATTACAAAGATGTTTTTCATTTAATTTCACTGGGAAAAAAGAGGCGTATATTTCAAATTCCACTCACGTCCTTGCCTCCAAATGCTTTAAATTTATATCTAGGCC